TTAACGAACGAGACCTCAGCTTGCTAAATAGCTACGCGGGGACCTTTCCTCGTGGCCAGCTTCTTAGAGGGACTGTTGGACGACTAGCCACTAGAAGTTTGAGGCAATAACAGGTCTTTGATGCCCTTAGATGTTTTGGGCCGCACGCGCCCTACACTGATGAATCCAACGAGTCGCTTGCCTGGGTCGAAAGGCCCGGGACCTTCTTAAGGTTCATCGAGACGGGGATCGATTGTTGTTATTATCGATCTTGAACGAGGAATGCCTAGTAAGCGCGAGTCATCAGCTCGCGCTGATTACATCGCTGCCCTTTTGTACACATCGCCTGTCGCTCCTACCGATTGAATGGTCTGGTGAAGTGTCTGGACTGCGGTGATCTCGGCGGTTTGCTGCTGGGGGTGCTGTGAGAAGTTCATTGAACCTTATCATTTGGAGGAAGGAGGAGTCGTAACAAGGTTTCCGTAGATGAACCTGCGGAAGGATGATTGACACGTGAATGGCTGATCTTCGGGGTGTGGGACGCTGGCTTGCTCGCCCTTCCGCCGCCCTTTGCCCCCATCCTCCCTGCATCCAGTTTTCTCTTCCGTTTCAGCACCATCTTGGGCTTATTGCCCAGCTGGCGGCTGGCCTGGCGCAGAGTGGGCAGGGTCCGGGGCCATGCGGCGTTGCTCCCCGTTCATCCCGTCTCGCGTCCGCAGGTTGTTACCTCGGCCCAGCCCCACTCTCGACTTCTGGTGGGGATGGCGGTTGGTCCGGGCACGGACAGCCCTGCGGGAGGGTCAGGGGCAGGATGTCGGGTGGTGGCGGTTGTCCTCGGCCTGCGTACCCCCGCTCCTTCCCGTCTCAGTTTTGTCTAGACCTCCTTTCCATCCCGGCCTCGACCTCGGCTTCGTGCGGAGCTCGTGGCTTGTTTGGGGGTCGAGGGTCGTGGTACAGGCTAGGGGCGGGGTGTGTTGCGGGGTCCTCGGCCCCTCCCTGTTTCGTCCTGCCTTCCTTCCCAATCGGGTTCTCCTTTTCGGACAGATCGGCCTCCTCGACACAGTCGAGGTGGTCTGAATCTTAGGGTGGAGGGCCGTTGGGGGAGGGTTTTGGTCGTGAACGGGGTGGTGTCGGTGTGGGGGCGGGGGGAGGAGACAGCGCTTGCACCCTCGTTGCCCCGCTGCTCCCCGGTGCCCTGCTTGGCCCCCCGAACGGGGGGTCGGGCGGGCCCGTGGCAGCGGCTGGTGGTGATGGCTTTGCAACTTCTTATTGATGTACCTGCTCTGATTTGTCGCTGTCCGGGTTGACGGCCCCCTTCTGTTCTGGTCGAGGGGTCGATCCTGTCGGAACGGCACCATATTGTCGAACTCTGGGCAAACGAATGTCTTGGCCCTCTCAACGATGAAGAGCGCAGCGAAATGCGATACTGAATGTGAATTGCAGAAATCCGTGAGCCATYGATACCTTGAACGCACGTGGCGCCCAAGGCTTCTGCCTAGGGCACGCCCGCCTGACCATCATTGGATTCCTCACGACCTCAGCACCTTCCGTTTCGGAGAGTGGTGGGGTCCGTGGTCGTGGCTTCCCTCGCTTCCCACTTGGAGAGCGTCGATAGCCTAAAATTGAAGGGAATAGGAGAGCATTCCGAGCAGGCCTGTGGGGGCCGTAGCCCAGAGTGGTGCGCTTCGCTCCACCCTGTTGTTGCCCTCCAGCACCCGTTTGTGGGTGGTGGTCTTCGTTTCCCTGAAAACGGCACGTGAGGTCGTCCCTCCGGTTTCTGTGGTCGCCGCCTTCTGTTCACTGCCATCAGCTTGAGGTGGGCTTGCGGTTGGGGGTGTCGGCCTCGAGCTGTGGAGGTACGCCAGGCCTTGACTTTTGATCTCAGGTCAGGCGGGAGCACCCGCCCAATTTAAGSATATAACTAAGCGGAGGAAGAGAAACCAACGAGGATTCCCTTGGTAGCGGCGAGCGAACGGGGAATAGCCCAGACTGAAAATCCGGGGGCTGTGCTGSTCCCTGAATTGTAGTCTTGAGAGGCAACCTCTGCAGCGGGCCCTGTGCAGGTTCCCTGGAAAGGGACGCCGACGAGCGTGAGAGCCCCGTCAACCGCCGGACCCTACTGCGCACGTCCAACAAGGCACGCGCCTCTTTCGGCGGGCCCGTTCGGGTTCTTGCCTGTTCGGGATGCTGGCGGAATTCCTCTATCTTGCCCGTCTTGAAACACGGACAGAGGAGCTCAACGTGCATGCGAGCCGGTGGGTGATTAGCCCACCAGGCGGAAGAAACCTGAGTGGTGGGAACCCTCTGCGGGTGTACCGTCCGCCAACCACGATCTGTTGTGAGAGGTTTGAGTGTGAGCATGCCCGTTGGGACCCGAAAGATGGTGAACTATGCCTGAGCAGGGCGAGGCCAGAGGAAACTCTGGTGGAGGCTCGCAGCGATACTGACGTGCAAATCGTTCGT